ATGGCATATCAGACTAGACCCACAGTTGTATAGACCAGTTGGGCCTAGATGTGTGATATGGTCAGCATCACACAAACCGTACTTACTTTCAAGGACTTTATTTTTTTCACAGTTTAGGTTGGGTCAACCTGGGAGACCAGGTTAAAAAAAAATCAGAATCCATGCAGATTTAAACCGTAGACCTTCCGACAGGCCGGTGAGCATATTGTCACTATGTTATCACCCCTCCCTGAACCTTGTTGGACAGACATCTACATTTATCAAAGAAGTCAAAATGACATTTCAGGAAAACTTTGAAAGGCGAGGCTAGGCTATTTATTAATGCCTTGTGCAAGTTCAGTAATTCACTACACCGATTTGTTTTGGGGGACAACAGAATATAAAATATTCTCAATAGCATAACAATATCAGATTATTAATGCACAGCGAAGAATATCTTAAGAGCTGAAGGTCGCGTTGTAAAGTAACAGTTTCCGAGATAACAAGTAAAAATTAATCTGGTTTGCTCATAAAGTTATCGAGGATCGGATTCACATAGAATGAGATAAAATTATCCCCCCCCCCCCCACCCTGGCAACATAGAATATCTTTTCAGCCCGGGATTATTTCTGTGACGAAACTATGTTAGCGTGTTGAAAATCTGTAGCCGCAATTGAAAATATTTCAACTGCATCCGGCCGGATATCTATTTTTGTTGACTTATATTTGAGTTAGGGTGCGTTGTGGTGCAATGGCTGGCATTCTTACTTGCCAAGCTAGGAGTTTCAGATCGAATTTTCGTAGAGGTAATTATAAAAATAGACTAGGATTTCCAGTTTTATCCAGTTAAATGAGTGAACAAGTTATTAAAAAAAAAAAAGTAAAGGACCTTTTTTTCCACGCCATTAGGTGTATTGAGCATTTAGGGCTTGAACTATATATTATAGACCAATTGGGACTTAATGGGTTTAAATGAGTACAGGAAATAGTTTGGGGAGGTGAAGGCGGCCAATGTAGCCCTGACCAGGGATACCGCCAAAGCAACAGCAAAACACTGGGGTGTGGCCAGTGCTGTCTTAAAGCTGACTGGGCACTTACCCTGGGGCTGCACGTGTATTGGAGTCCCATGCTAATCTGTCTATGTCACGTGACTTGTCTTGTTGTAGGGACCACAGCACACTGGTTTACCCAGGGACCTATAGTGCTGTTAAGACGGCTGGGGGAGGGGGGGGGGTGTGGGGTGGCGATTTAGGTGCCTGAGCTCCCATGTTCTAGCAACCATCACACTGATCACATCACCCATCAAGTGCCGAGTTTGAACACTATACATCTATTACACCTCTAAAATTTGGGTTATTTTGAATCATTGTATTCTAGTCCATTTGTCTAATATCTTTCGCTGCTTAGTTCTGACAGGGGTCGTGGGCAAGGCAAATGATCGGTTTCCGGGACAGTGCGCGCTCTTTAGCTTGCTGCATGCTGATATTGTTGAGTTTAAGCAAGTTGTTAACTCTATCTTTCAAATTTCGTCATGACATTCCTCTGCAACTTGACGTTTCTATTCTCATGTTGTATGCTCTTGCAACTGGTGATGCTGTGTTCATTCTGACCAGGTGGGCAAACCAATTCAGTCTTTGTTTTTTAAATAAATCTAACTACAGGTGTTGTTGCCACCATTCTTATGGTATCTTAATTTCTTTTATGGTGTCTTCTTGTTGTGATGACTGCTTTTCTCAGACATATAATTTCAAAAGTCGTTAGTTTCCCCTTTTGATCTTCCGTAATGCCCAAATTGTTGTCCACACTTTTGATTATTGCAACTATAATCCTGTGCTTGTTGGTTGTATTATAATCCATGCTATCTGAGAGTTTTTACACTGTTTTGTTTTTGTCCGCGTTTTTTTGTGTGTGGGTTATTTCTAGTCGCGTGTTGAGTTTATTCTCTAGTCCCTGCTATATCATTGTTTTAAATTATGTGTTGTTGTTGTTCTATGTTAGCCTGTCGTGTCCGTGTTAATCTGTGCTGTCCGTGCTGTCTGTGCTGTCCGTGCTGTCTGTGCTGTCTGTGCTGTCTGTGCTGTCTGTGCTGTCTGATAAATTTCGAATCCATAATATTCCCAACATTTTACTCAGTGTTGTTTAACTGTTGGGAGTCGCCATGGCCGAGCGGCTAGAAGCTCGCCGCGGATCGGAAGGTCGTGTGTTCGCTTCCTGACAGAACCAGACTTATTTCAAAAATGACCTTGGCTCCCAGGCCGACCCACCCTTGAGTGGGTACTGGGTTCAGTCCCGGGAAAGTGAAAGCAGCCGGCGTGATACTGACACATTACCTATCTTGTGATGATTGATCAATAAAAATATAGGTCTAGCCCTATATGCCCTATACGCCTTAAGGCGTGGAAAAGGGTCCTTTACTTTACTTACTTACTGTTTGACTGTTTTCTATTTTGTGGTGTTTAGTTGTGTTTTGAAAATGTAGGGATGCCCCCTCCCCCTCCACACACAAACACACAAAACAATCCGAGGTGATTTCTAATGGGCGCTATGCTTGCTCTCTGATGTTGGATTGGTTTATACATCATCTTGCCTATATTTCTACCACCATCTACCTGATTAACTGTCATTTTGTCTCTCCTCTCAGGTATCCAGGGTAACAAAGTCTGGATCCACAGCAACGGAGAAAGTCAGGAGAATTACATAGTCGCCGAACTGATCTTTGATGAGGATCAGATGGCAGAGCCAAGCTTCCGGGAGGCTGGGCGATTTTTGTCCCGTGATGACGAAACACTGGTCAGTGGCAGTTAAATATTCTTTGCTTTGCTGATGAATACATATTTCCACTGCGTAGGTGGAAGGTGTCGAGAGGATGTTGTGCGCCTTCTGGCTGGTTGCTTCCGGCTTCAGCTTCTTGTGTTGCTAGGATAGTAATAATAATAATAAAGTGCTACGTCGCAAATAAATAAAGTAATATTAAATGTTTGAAATTACATAAAACGAATAATCCAATACTTAAATAGAGAACGTCTGTATATAGTAAAGGAATGGGGTTGGTAATTAGCTCCTTCCCCTCCCCCACTGTAATTTTTGTCTAGCCCCCCCCCCCCCTCCCTTTCCCACCCAAATATGGCTTTAAATGCTTGAGCTCCCAGTTTTCAGCGCCCCTGGTTAGTTTATGAAATGTTGGATGCTGGGACATTTCTATAATAATGATTACAAACACACAGCCTTTACAAGTATTGATCAGACCCCACCTACACGACTTCTAATAAAACTGCAATGTCTTGGAATCATTTCTGTCTGCCTCATGAACTTATGTATGGCCGCTACTTTCAACCTTGATTAACCAGTCAGACACTCTTTACAGGATCACTGGGTCAAGTCTATGTTAATAACATCGCTACTTTACGTCAGAAACGGCCATTAACTAGACTCGTTACTTTCGCTCATTGTCTGGCTATTTGTCAGCCAAAGATTCGATCGTCGAAAATGTTTTTACTCTTTTCAATCAGATTTTCTGTTGTAGTCGGTTATTTTTAGATCATCATGGTACAGATGGTGTGACACCATACCATACAAAGCATACATGGAAAGAGAAGAAGGACGTAGAGCACGAGGTAGACCAAGAACAAGATGGAAGGTTGAGGTCAGAGAAACTCTACAACAGCACGATGTGCCTATGGTCGAGGCGGCCAGAAGAGCTAGAAACAGAACCTTATATCTCCATCGACACCCACAGCGGTAAAAGAGGAAGTGAAGAAGAAGAAGAAGAAGATCATGGTACAGAGGCCTTGAACCAAAATCTCACACACACCAACAAAAACACACTTAGTATATGTTTAGAAATTTCGCTTTTAAATATGTGTTAATGCACTTCATATTATTTTATATAAGATTATTATATTCATTTGCAATTCAGCGGATGGCTGTTTCTACTAATACTGTTGTTTTACTACTTCTACTGCTGTGACTGCACATACTACTACTACTGCACTATTGCTATGCACTTAAACTATGTTTAAGCTCCTTGAGCCCCTCCTCCTGCCAATTATTGAGCTCTCAATGTTTAATTTGTGTCGGCCATCTGGAGATTATATTTTACGATATTTTTTTTCTGGTGAAAATAATTTTTTTTCTGATTTTAGATGAATACAGTTATTTATAAGTAGTATTCGAGTATTACTGTTGGCTAAAGTGTTATCTATAAATAATATCATTATTTCCAATGTTATCTTTTGGGTTTGGTACCTTTCTATAAATGTCCTCTACAGGCTTTTATCTTTCCGTTCAACTCTCTGACAAATGATTTTCGGAAGTTCTAGTTTTCTTCTCCTTTCAGCATATAGAATAACGTGGATTGGACTAACATAACTGATTTGTAGCCGGATATTTTGGAGTGTTTATTTGTGTGTCAATATTGCTTTTCTCAAAGGAAACGGTTATCCATTATCGGGTATGTGTGTGAGTGGGGGTGGGGGAGGGGGAAGGGGGTTATTTAGAAAGATACAGAGAATGACAGGTGAAAAAGACATACAGAAGTTAAACATAGGGACAGACAGACAGACAGACAGACAGACACACAGACAGACAGACACACAGACAGACAGACAGACAGACAGACAGACAGACAGACAGACAGACAGACAGAGAGACAGACACACAGACAGACAGACATACAGACAGACAGACAGAGAGACAGACACACAGACAGACAGACAGACAGACAGACAGACAGACAGACAGACAGACAGACAGACAGACAGACAGACAGACAGACAGACAGACAGACAGACAGACAGACAGACAGACAGACAGACAGACAGACAGACAGACAGACAGGTAAGGAGAAAAAGAAGAGAAACAAGTGAGAAAGAAAAATGCTGTGAGAGAGTTGTCTACCAGCCATTATTGTTACAGTTGACATCTTGATTCTTATTGTGATTTGTGATCCTTTCAAAGAGTAAATAATAATGCTTAATTTCCACTCAGATGTACGAGCCTGTGCATCCCATTACCTGGGTCAGTGGACAGCCACCCATCAGTGACCCAGTGTGTGGCTTCGATGGAAAGTTGTGTCCTAGTTCTAAACGTAAGTGACCAAACGTGATCTAATTTTCTGTCTTAAACAATGGCATGATGAGGGGGACGTCTGTCGTGTACTACACAGACAAAGATGGACAAAGAGACTGACAATAGGATAGACCAACAAAAGAGGAACAAAGAAACTGACAATAGGACAGAGATAGCAAACAGAGAGGGGGTCGAAATGGTGCTGTGACGTCAGGAGGGGAAGAGCGAGAGGAAGAGAGAGTCAGCAGACAGCCAAGCAGATAAACTGATGTACAGGCAGGAGGATAGACAGAGACAGGGAGACAAATAGTGACATAAATATACATATAAAGAGAATACTAATAGAGATATTAAGAGAGAGAGAGAGAGAGAGAGAGAGACAGACAGACAGACAGACAGACAGACAGACATTTAAAAGAAGCGGCGGGTGAACAGAGAAACAAACAGGCAGAGGCATTTACAGAGAGAGTCGTACCGACAGAGACATTCACACACACACTCACACCGAGAGATATATAGATAGAGAGAGAGAAGGGGAGGGAGATATATATATATATATATATATATATATATATATATATATATATATATATAGAGAGAGAGAGAGAGAGAGAGAGAGAGAGATTCAGAAAGGCCAACGGACGGTGAGATGGACAGACATAAAAACAATTTTGTTTCATGAGATAATTTTTCTGAATGAAACACAATCTACTGTGGCATGAATAATACACGTACAACGCATAAGCCATGGACACCGACGTATCCACATTTAATTCCAAACTAACCCATCTTAACAAGTGTTATTTCATCTAATATTAGCATTTGTTTAGAAATGGTCTTTAGAACGTCTCCCTCGTTAACTATGAGTGTTCCTATAGGTATCGATCACTTTTATAGCCTAAATTTCAGCTTTTTAATTCCTTTGTACTCCTGCATTTACTGGGCAGCATACCAGCGTGTGCTCTACAACTTATAAGTAACTACAACTGATATCCACTCATGACACATTAATCTATTCTGAACTTTTCGAAATACCGACTGAGAGTCACACACTACGTTTCCTTTAGTAAGCTATTCACTTCAGCGTTGCACTTAGTTAGTTAGTCGACAGATTATCTTTATTGCACGTCGAACCACTCAGTCTATAAGTGCTCGGATCTCCTCCTCAGGAAATCCCGCAGCGTGTAGCGTCTAACAACACCAGTACTGTGTTGGTTTATACTTCTTCTTTGTCTACCCGAGTAGTGCTCTTGTTTGGCGACACCAAGTTTAACATGTCGTTCTTGCAGTCTGACCATGGTTGCAGATTCACAGTTCTCAATTGGTTCACGCAAACGTCTTAATTCTCTTAGTGCATTCAGTATATCAGCCTGGTCCATGGCTTGTCCGGCTTTCCCAGTAGCCTTACCTGAAAGTCTATCAGCTAGCTCATTTCCTTGTACCCCAACATCTGTTGGCACGAAAATGAAACGGATCCTTGTCAGCCGTGAATTCTGTAGAGCCACAAACCACTGCCCTCGGACCCAGCCCTTCTCTATCTTCCTGAGCATACTCATCGAGTCACTGAGAAAGCATGCTCGAGTGTAAGTCTGTGTCTCTAGCCATGTTACTGCTTTAGTCACAGCCATGACCTCCATAGTCAGACTACTTGTAGTTACGACAAAAGCTCCAGAATCTCCCTTTACAACTCTCCCTCCAAACTGAGCCGTGAAAGCCCACGAGCTTTTAACGTGTTGCACTGACTACCTCTATCTCCAACTTCGTGCGTAAAGCTCTAGAGAAATACTCATGGTTATGTTCCACCACGTCCTGTCTCTGCAATTTACATGGGAAACCGTTGCCAGATTTTTCACCAGGGTGAACAGAACCACCGGTGCTCACAACTGCACCATATTTTTCTGGCCTTTTTATCTAACACTTGCACCTCTAATTATGCCTTACAATTAAATAACTCAGGGAGCCGCAGTGATCTGGCGGCAAGATGCTGGCCTGCAGATCCGAAATTCGTGGATACAGGCTGTGACAGAGCTGAAATATTTTCTAAAATTACCTTGGTTTCCCTGTCGATCCGACTTTAAATGGATACATGGTAAAGTTCTGGGAATCAAAGGCGGCCAGCGTGATGTTGTTGACCACATCACCCATCTAGTACTGTTTTGTCTATAAAATATAGGTCGAGCTCTATACGCCTGAAGGCGTGGAAAGGGTCCACTACTTTAATAGACTACATTCTACACTTCCTTCCTAATGTGTTTTTAAAACTGCTGTTGTGAAGGTTCATGTCAATCGATTCCTGTTATCTGTAGCAGGTCCTATGCAGAACGTCGCTCTCATCACAGTCTGCCTGTAAGAAACTCGATCAATTGCCAGTTCTCCCGCCTCATGAACTTTCACACTCAAGGAGTCACTTATATCCTGTGCCCATCTTCGTGTCTGTCGGCCTCTGCCCCTCCTTCCTGATACCATGCCTTCTGCTATAATTTTTTCCAATCCGTCGTGGCGCTTGATATGACCAAAATATTTCAGCTTTCGAGAAAGGATGCTGTTTATTAGCCAATCTTCCTTGATGTTCAGATCTTCTAAGATGTCAATATTTCCCATCTTCTTTGTCCAAGATATTCTGAGAATCTTTCTATAGCATTTCAGCTCAAAAGCCCCTATTCTCTTTCTTAAGGACTGAGAGATAGTCCACGACTCACATCCGTATGTAGCCACAGGGAAGATGCATGCTCTCAAAATTCTAATTTTTATCTCCTTGCTGGTGCCTAACCATAGACTTTTAAGGCTGTTCAATCTTTGCATTGCTATGGCCATCCTCCTTTTAATTTCTGTCGAACAGTCTCCATTGTTGTTTATTATAGAGCCTAGATATTAAAAATTTGTGACATTTTCAATTTCTTCATCATTTATTGTTATTTTTGGGTGACAGCCAGTTTTATCTGTGGACATTATTTTCGTTTTCTTTAAATTCAAGAACAGATTTTGATCTTCGCTGTGCTTTTGGACGGACAATATTAAATTTTTATTCCCTTTACGCTGTTCGAAAGGAGGACTGTGTCATCTGCTAGCGGTGTTCCGGAATAGGGTTGCCACCAATTTTGAGCGGATCATAACTGTCACAAGTCTGGTCATTTAGTTAGGTTACCGTAGCTAATCCAGCAACAAGACAATGAATTAAGACAAGAAAAGGAAGCATAATGCATGCCTAACGAGTTACTTGACATTGATCGAGCTGAAATAATTTTTGCGTTTTACTTTTTATTTTACACTTTCCAGCTCAATAATTTATTATGACAGCTGACTTCTTTATACCGGTTTTCTTTCTCTGAAAATATGTTTTATTTTCTCCTTTTCCCCTCCAGTTGCTGAATGGAAGATAGCCATTATCATCGCTTCAGTGCTCATCTTTGTACTCATCATCGTCGTTATCCTTATCCTCGGCATCAGGTTAGTATTGTTTGAATCTGATGAGAGTTTGCTGACTTTGAGGATACTTAGATTACTAAATATGACAAAATAAATTTCCAGATTAAGAATTAACCTTCGTTGTCTTAAATTAACCTTGTTAAGAGCTACTGGAAAGATGTTGCGTTTTTCATATTAGCAGCTCAATTAAGAAAACAGAAAATAGAGGTTTACAAATAAATAAGGACAGGTAAATTAAAAGAGGCGTGAAGCAAAATATTGAAATTGTGTGTTAACTGACATAATGGTTTATTTGAACAAAGAGCCTGGCATATTTCGCTCTATCTCGCGTTGACAACTACTAAACCACAGACGCTGACGTTTTAAAGTAAGCCAAATCCAAACAGCCCACCAGTGTTGCCACTTTTCTTTGACAGCAAAAAATATATAAAAACATCTAAATTTGCGTGGAAAACATCTAGAAAAAACATCCAAATGGAAAGAGTCACAAATTACATAGCATTTGATATGACTTACCCTATTGAATCATGTCCTCATCTTTACCGAAGTCTACCTTACATGATCCACAGGATAAACTTAGCTTGGATGATTAAGTTGAAACTTCAGATCAAAAATGACTCTGGTATGCTTTAGCTGTTCCAGTTTCTTCTAATACCCAATCAGGGAGCTGATAAGTGGAACAGCATTTCCTACTCTTATCAGGCCAAATTTTATTGTCAAGATAGCGTTTAAGAGGTCAAGTTTAATCCTGTTTCTTAGGTTAGATTTAATAAATTTACTCCAAATGAAAAACATCTAGAAAAACTTCTACCATCTAAACGTCAAAAAACGACATCTAAATGCAAGGAAAAACATCTGAATCTGGATGTAAAATATCAAAATTGACAACAATGCAGCCCTACTCCAAATATCGTTCATTTTGGAGAAGAAACAGGCATCTGTTTCCACCATATTGAAAGTCATTTGCTGTTTATTCTTTCTTTCAAATCAAATACAATGGTGCATGGGTATACGTTCGCTTTGGTATACGTTCGCCTTGGTATACATTCAACTTGAAATAAATCTTGTTTAGATCCGAAAACTGTTGCTTTTTATGTGAGTTTTGTTTGGAATATGATTTTGTATGAATCAAAATTAGTCACGACACCGCGCGCTATCTTTGTTGTTTGTTTACCCCACCCGAGACAAAAGGCACGGATAGATGCCAATGGCTTTGCAGAGAAGGTTTAGGTTTAAACGACGGATCAACATCATGGCACAAGGGTAGTAACTCATAAGTGCCCCGTTCTACTTTTAACTTAAGCCTGAGTTTAAAAAATCTTAACACAGTGCACGAACTCCGTAGTACAGGCGAGGATCATGAAATACTTTGAGTAAATGTTAACGCTAAATTTCGCTCTGGCTGCGCCGTTAAGCTACTCTTTTCGATTTCCAACTGCCAAGGGCTTTTTTATGTAGCCAACAATACACATAGGCGTCCGATATTACTATCCAGAGACCAGGGAAAATTACTAGAAGTACATGTGAAAAAATCCCAGCCTTCACCGGGGCTTGAACCCGAAACCTCTAGCAATTTATGCGGACGCCATACCTCGAGACCAAGCCCACACAGATAAGTATCAATAAAAGTCCACAGAAGCCAGAACAGCATTCTCTGAAATGACCAAAGTCACATTTCTAAAACATCCAGTCAAAAAGGCAGAAACAACGTCTGGCCAGATTTTTAGTAAAAGTCAAACCATGTAAGCGTCAGTGAGGTCCGAGTAGAAAAAAATTGGAAATACAAAAATACCACACTTTCATATTTCTAAAGATTTATCTGGAATTGGACTCTTCTCCCAAACAATAACATCTCCTTGTGCTGTCTTAGTGCCACCCTAGTAGGTATTCGACTCTTTCCAAGATGGTAAAATGAGGTTAAATGTTCACTAATTTCATCCAATGTCTTTTGTATTTATGCACTTTAGTATTAGGCAGTATATGTATTATTTTAGAAGCACCCATCAATGCATAATGCACCCATAGCAATATGATTTGTTTTTCTCTTGGGAACAGATTAATCATTCTCCCGGTAATTTGTATGGGAAGATTCGTTTGGTATACACCCTGTTTGGTATACACCCTGTTTGGTATAAAGAATCAGAAACGGATTAAGTACGTATACCGAGGTACAGCTATGTTCCATTTTAGAATTTAAAAAAAAAGCTTGTAGCTTCTATGTTCCTTATATATATAAATTTGCTAAGTCACCGGCTATGTCAATGACTAAAAACAGTCATTTTAGAGTACCTTGGAAAGACCAAAACAAATTTGTCTGTCTGCCTCGTTAAGACCACGTTTTATCATTTAACCAGGAACGGTAAACAATAATTTATACGGCCAGATATCTGGTTTTTAACAAAAACACGCTCTGTCCAATTGACAGTGGTGTCGGCGTGTGCTTGTTCTAAATAAAAAATAAAGAACGGTAGAGTTGCTTAGAGGTGTGGCGTTCGACTCTGATTCGAAATATAATTGGTTCGAATGCAACTATTTAAGGATTGTTAAAAAAGTGTTTAGGGATGTTGTACTTCACCCTATTTTACTTGTGATGATTCTCATTCTGTTCTCCCTCTGTTCTCCCCTATTTAATCATCTCTTTCTTTAATTGTCATCTACTTGCGTTTTAGGTCTCTCCTTGTCTCTTTCGTCCCGTAGTTTCCGTTGAAATTACATAATAGTTATATAATTATAACATTTTCTGCATTTGGTACTATCTAGCGCCATCGTCTTAATCTGTCATAATCATTTACTAAAATGTCTCTCTCTTTCTCTGCCTGTGCTTCACAAATGGGAATTTATCATATCCTTCTATTTCTCCCACTGTGTTAAACTATAGCGCAGAAGTGGGTTTTGAGGCAAACACATCAATTTTTTTTTCTTTCTTCTTCTTCTTCTTTTTCTTCTTCTTCTTCTTCTTCTTCTTCTTCTTCTTCTTCTTCTTCTTCTTCTTCTTCTTCTTCTTCTTCTTCTTCTTCTTCTTCTTCTTCTTCTTCTTCTTCTTTTTCTTCTTCTTCTTCTTCTTCCTTTCGATTGAAATGGATTATCTATATCTACAATGCTGTCTCTAGTATAAACTTCACTGTCTGTTGCAATTCACTCAGTGACCCATAAAGTTTGGTTTTGCACCGGTGTTTCTCTTGGCCATAGTTGTGCCTTGATATGTTGTATTGGAACAGTCTTGGCATCGAAGAATCAAGAATGATAGAGACAAAAACGTGGGCGATGAAAACCGTAAATTAATTAGAGAGATTAAACGCAGACAGATGGTTAAAATAAGGAATGGCCTCGAGAACATGGTGAGAAATGGCACTTTTGCTGAAAAAAAAAAATCAAGGAAAGGCAGTAACATTTAAAAAAAAAAAAAAATTGTATACTGACCCATATGGAAGACGAAACCACTGAACTGTATATCTTATAAGTTTGCTGTCATTATTAGTACTGTCTTTATTTGTTCGTGCACAGACACTACATGTATGAACAGAAGCTTGAGCGATTGGCCTGGAAGATTGAAAGGGAAGAGATCCAAATACTGAATCCTGGACAGTTCCGGGAACTGAACACACCCTCGAGACCTAGGGTCAGTATTTCTAAACAAGTGAGAGTGTGTTATGGCTCGCAGCTTTGTTTGCGCACTTTTTTCTGTTCGCTGTGTATTTTTTTGTCTGTTGGACCTGCTTGTCATTTATTTTGCCTATCTCTGTATCCTTCCTTCCTTCACTAATTCATTCTTTCCTTTATTCCGTTATTCCTTGCTCCATTTCTTTCTTCACTCTTTCCTTTCTTCATGACTTCTTAATTCCACCCTTCCTTCATTCCTTTCATCCTTTCTTCCTCCCTTCTGTCTCTTTCTCTCCTTCTGTTTTGTTTTCTTTAATTTGTCTCCGTACAAACTGTGACTTGAAGGGAAAAAAAATTCATTTTGTGAATCTGACCATTTCAGTATGTGTTTTAATAGCCTTTATCAGCTCATGTTATGCTTCTACATTTATCTGTGTTTTCTGCTCGCCCATACACATCCTCCCCCCCCCCCCCCGCCCCTTCCCGAGGGAGGCTCTGAATAAAATTGTAAACAAGATTTGTGCTTCTACACAACGAGCGCCCATCTGGTAACTACCAAACAATAGACAGTTGCCGCAATAAAATAATCAGACATGTCAGTCTCTAATGCACATGTGAAAGACAATGCCTAACGCGTCATTCAATTCTTCAAGAATGATGCAGACGAGGATCGCCAGGCTAGAGTTGAAACGAATAGTGTGGCAAAAACATAATTTCAACAAAACCTGGAGCGAATATAAAAGTATTTATGTCAATGATAGAATATACTGATAACTTTCATTCACTTTGACTGCCACACTGAATTTATGAACTATGGCTGAGAAACAAATATTCACATCCTTCGCAATATTATCTTCAAATTTACGTAAAGTAACGGGTTATTTTTTCGGCCATAGCGTAACGGGCATGCAACGCTAGGCTCGAATTTGTGTAACCAGTCAGCAGTGAATGAGTGATGGGGTCAACATTAGGGTAGAATGTGGTCAAAATACCGTTAGCGGTGAACTTACCTGGTCAGCATTTTCGGCTAAGTCAACTTTCAAGCTTATTTGGTACCTATTTTAGACTGAGCCGATCTGGAATCTAACGTCATAAGAAAAAAGTCCGATTCGATGCGGATTCAAACCGATAAAGATGGATGACTAGACATCAAAGGAACCTATAAACAGTACAATGTTTCAGAAACCGGACTTGTTGTAATATAAACGCTGCAGTGGGTTGGAAAGAACATCCGTAGAGAGCATGTTTACGCAAGATGAGTGTCACATACCGCTCATGTCGCGTGCCTGATTTAAGGATTTATCCTTAAGAACCAACAGCACTCTGAAATAATAATGTTGAGGCCTTGGCTCGTATTGGTCTAAGGAAGATCCCGTGGCCAATATACGCCTAACTTATTTCAGGCGTAGGGCAACTCAAGCTCTGGCACTACAGAATATCTAATATTCATAGTCAAACATGGCTAGACACCCCCACTACTATAAAAAGATAGCCCCCAGGTTATGATAGTATACTGCCATAGCCATGTTAACACAGATTTCACTTGCTATTCACACAAACATAAAAGCTTGACAGTTAGAATGGTGAAACGGGGACACCCAAGTCAGCCATGAAAATTTCTGAAAAGGTTGTAATAATCTCAACACACACACACACACACACACACACACACACACACACACACATATATATATATATATATATATCAAGACAACCAAGATGGTTTTCAGTGAAAGGAGTTCAGGACAACGCCACAGCGAGGATGTTGAAACAGCCAGAGTCAGTTCTCAAAAGAGTACATGACTTATCACTGTGAATTATAGGTAGCCATGGAAAGAGAGCATGTATGTCATCTCAGATGTACTTATCCAATCTGGTAGGTCACTGCTCCCCTCAGTCCATGGGGATTTGAACAGGCTGACTCAATAGATCGCTTTTCCTCTGGTTGACCTATGAGGACAAAGGAACTGCACTGGAGCCCCACAAAGCTCCTGAAGAAGGCTTCCTTGGATTTATGACACAGGTGGCCTGCAATACTGTCTCTCAGCCACTGGAACTCACACACAAGCTCCTGCCATGTTGCAGTTCTGGCAACAATAGGTAGGGTTTTTGGGTAGGTTTGGTGATAGGGATGGTATGGGTTGGTGTTGTTGGTTGGACTGTGATTCGTCTGCCTGACTTTTAAGGAGATATAATCCTGTCAGGAAAGAACTCAGAATTAGTAATCATCTTAAGATTCACACACCAGCTCAACTTATCTCGCGCTACCCTTCTTAGTCACTCAGAGTATACTCTCAAGAACAGGAGACAATGTCCCCTACATTTGTCTGTCTGTAAGTCCGTACACTAGATAGAAGACCAGGTACATAGTGGAGATAGATAGACACTACTACACATAGATCATCCTCTGTCTACCTTCCCATCTGCACCCGCAGACATACATTCTATCCCGTTAGTACATGTACACATTTCATATCTCCACAATCTGCCTACTACACACCCAATGTTGTCGTGCTAAAGTTAACCTTTGACTCAGAGCGCCTAGCTTCTGACGTCACAGCATCTAGCCGGTTGAAGGCTGACCCAGTTTACATATGTCTGCTAGTCGACACAACCCCGTTGTTCGGTTAGAGAATAATTAACTTGCTGGGTTTAATATCTTTACAATGGTGTGTGTCATGTAGAGCACAAACTAGTTAGCCTGTGAAGGGACAGGTTTGATTTAGGGCCTTGAGTGTCTGGATATCAAGAACGGCCTAGTTCTGTGCGATCACACAACTGAATCTTCTCTCCTGCAGCAGTGGCCAACATATATCATGGTACTCGTAAACTATAATCAACTTACCCAAGCTTAGGAATCCTTCAAAGAATAAACTGGTACTTTGAAAGCGCTAAAGTTAATTAGAGAATTAAAACGTCTCCCGACACCTCAGAGGTCTGGCAAAAGAATGCCCGCCCCAGAGTCCGCTTGGCGTCTCTAGAAAAGAAGTCCTGTATTCGTGCTGAAGGAGTAAAAAGGCTTACAGGAATTTCTGAATAATATTCAAGAAATATTTATCCCACAGTTGCAAGTTTGAAAATGTAGACTTCTCAAAACAACTAGAGGGTAAAGACATTTTTATTTCACCAGATAGAGGTATATATTAATATGAGGGACTATATACCTCCCCGGACGGGTTTAAATTTGAAATTTGACCTGCCCGCTAGGGATATCAGCGTCACGACTCGTCCACAATGTAGGGTTGGCTGTTCTCTCCTCGACAATGAGGTAGGAATCGACCAACATGAAAGTGGACACACGATACTTAACAGACGCCGTGTGTGAACGTACATGAAACATTGAAACTGACAAAAGATTGAGAGGCTTCGATGAGGACTGCACTGGGAGAGACTTTCTGCATAGTACCTGCAATACGATGATGAACGTTTGCTTCCTCGCTCATAAACAGTAAAGTATTCTGTTGAGTTGAGTTGAGTCAATAATTGACATCACAGCACTCAGGGCATTCCCTTGCATGCTCCGTCCTCATCTTTACCAGACAGCGCAGAGTTCCAATATTGACGGTACCGGTCACAACCTGGTTATATATCCGTCTTGTCTGTCGTCTGAGTGTAGCACGCCGGCCAGACCCTCTGGTTGCACTCAGGTGCCTCATTATCTCCAGGCCATAATAATCTTCTTTCTCTAATGATTCCGTTGCATGTTCCAAATGGGCCTTCACCACATCTGCCTTGTGATATATCAATTCACCCCGTAGTGATGTAGATCCTAGTGATGTAAAGTGTCTAACTTCACTGGAAAGGTCAAGGGTGGTGAGCATACTTTGGATCTTTTATCCAGGCTGGTAATAAAGAGGAGGATAGATTGGCTAGATCCGCACAACGAGGATCTTTGCTTCTTCAAAATTTACCTCTGCCCTTGCGTCTACCTTGTTAAAACTGGTTATCAGATAGAGTATGCAAAGTAATGGATGTCGGTGTGACGTTGAACAGATCAGCCATTGAGTGCTGATTGGTGTGTACAAGTCAAGCGTTAAATGTCCGATACGCCACAGGCTTGAAAAGTGCACTTTACCGGCACTTCTAGGGTGTTTGTGAACCTAGGAAAGAGAATGAAATTTCTGCAACACAATCCCTTCTGAAGGTACAAGAAGTCCTGAACTGGAAAATATGTCTTTAAAGGGACGACTATGAGTTATCACTTTGCAATTTTAAGATTCACGTTAACAGAGTTAAAAACTCTCTATTAGGGGTGCGGGAGCCTAGTGGTTCAAGAAACGTGGGGGCCCCTTCCCAATCTTCCCCTCCACCACTCCATTAAAAAAAAAACATTGGGGAGTGCCTGAGCTCCCATCTCTCCATAGAAAATTTATAGAAGGGGAAAGCGTCCCTCCCCCCTCCCTAACCAGCCATGTATAAATGTGTATATTTCAAGTATGTGTATATACATCTCAAACGATTGGAAATATATTATTTTATTTATATGCCATTGTCATAGTAGCAGTACTACTACTACTACTACTACTACTACTACTACTACTACTACTACTACTACTACTACTACTACTACTACTACTACTACTACTACTACTACTACTACTACTACTACTACTACTACTACTACTACTACTACTACTACTACTACTACTACTACTACTACTACTACTACTACTACTACTACTACTACTACTGCTACTACTACTACTACTACTACTACTACTACTACTACTACTACTACTACTACTACTACTACTACTACTACTACTACTACTACTACTACTACTACTACTACTACTACTACTACTACTACTACTACTACTACTACTACTACTACTACTACTACTACTACTACTACTACTACTACTACTACTACTACTACTACTACTAGTACTACTACTACTACTACTACTACTACTACTACTACTACTACTACTACTTCTACTACTACTACTACTACTGCTACTACTACTACTAGTAGTACTACTACTTCTACTACTACTACTACTAGTACTACTACTACTACTACTACTACTACTACTACTACTACTACTACTACTACTACTACTACTACTACTACTTCTACTACTACTACTACTGCTACTACTACTACTAGTAGTACTACTACTTCTACTACTACTACTACTAGTACTACTACTACTACTACTACTTCTACTACTACTACTACTACTACTACTACTACTACTACTACTACTAGAAGTAGTAGTACTAGTAGTAGTAGTAGTAGCAGTAGTAGTAGTAGTAGTAGTAGTAGTAGTAGTAGTAGTAGAAGTAGTTGTAGTAGTAGTAGTAGTAGTAGTACTAGTAGTTGTAGTAGTAGAAGTAGTAGTAGAAGTAGTAGTAGTAACCTTCGTTACGCACTTAAACAAGACTTGAGCTTCAGGGGCCCGGTGAAATTTATAAGGGTGCTGAGCCGCTCCCCATCTCTTCCACCCCAATGTTTTCTTTCTTTTGGCGCCCGTGCCCAGAGTGTCTCTAGGTTTTACAACCCACCAACTATTAAAAACTTTCAACTGCCTTTTTACGCCACAGATATTGGGTTCTTTAATTCATATTGCTATGTATATTTGTCACATAATGTCAGTTACTATTTTATGTTGGCAGAAGAAAGATTCATATACCGGTAGCCAGCTGATATCACCTTTTCTATTGGCCTTGGAACCTGATCCGGACATAATTAATGAAGGAAATTATGGTTCAGAAAGGATCCCTGTCGGCGTGTATCGGGGAACTAACGTTGTTGTCAGGAAGGTAAGACGATATAGACAGTGGTGTGGTTTTTAGCTGAAAGGTGATTCTGTTTAAGGTGTATCGGGGAACTAACGTTGTTGTCAGGAAGGTAAGACGATATAGACAGTGGTATGGTTTTTAGCTGAAAAGTAATTCTGTTTTTTATGTATCGGGAAACTAACGTTATTGTAAGGAAGGTGAGACGATATAATCAGTGGTGTGGTTTATGGCTGAAAAGTGATTCTGTTTGGGGTGTATCGGGGAACTAACGTTGTTGTCAGGAAGGTGAGGCGATATAGTCAGTGGTGTGGTTTATAGCTGAAAAGTGATTCAGTTTAGGGTGTATCGGGGAAGTAACGTTGTTGTCAGGAAGGTGAGACGATATAATCAGTGGTAGGATTTATAGCTGAAAGGTGATTCTGTCTGGGGTGTATCGGGTAACTAACGTTGTTTTCAGAAAGGTGAGACGATATAATCAGTAGTGGGAACTATAGCCCTGTCGAGGTGTATCGGGGAACTAATTTTGTCAGGGGAGGTAAGACGATAACAGTGACAGTGAATATTAAACTGACAATCTAGCAAGATGTAGAACTTTACGGCACACACAATATGATTTTAGTTAATAGCAAGGTCGGAGTAAACCCTAAGCACTTTTAGGCGTATAGGGCATATATGGCATGACCTATATTTTTATAGACCAATCGGCACAAGATGGGTGATGTGGTCAGTATCACGCTGGCCGCCTCTGCTTCCCGGGACTGCACCCGGTAGCCACTCAAGGCTGCATCGACCTGGGAGCCAAGGTCATTTTAAAAAAAAGTCCGGCTCCGCCAGGGAGCGAATCCACGAACTTCCGATCCAAGCGTCACTTCTACGTCATAATTTAAAAGAACGGTTGAATTTCACATTGCGTGCCATTTTTGTGATAAGACAACACATCTGATCCGAGACTCGAGTGACTGTACGTTAAATACATATTAGTGACCATATATTGTGTGTTCATCTACAGCTTACAAGAAAGAATCTAGAGCTGACACGAGCACTCAAGAAACAGCTTCAGCTGCGGAAAGAACTCAGCCATGAAAATATCAATAGATTCATTGGAGCGTGTATTGAGGTCCCTCACCTTTACATGGTAACCCAGTACTGTCCAAGGAAAAGTTTACAGGTGAGCTGCAAATTGTTGAGGTTTATTTTGCAGCATAGCTCTTGTAACTTAGGGATTGTATACTCACAGTATCTGCTTGCTATTGAGGCTCTCTGTTTTCCCACAAACTCCGAATTTTTGTTTCCGTGCGGCTCGCCTGCATACAGTTGAACGCACGTTTATCTTTCATTTATAGTCACAAGTATAGTAAATGACCCTTTTCGGCAACTTTAGGCGTTTTGGGCATATAGGGCTAAACCTATATTTTTAGAGATCAATCGGCACTTGGTCAGCATGACGTCGGCTACCTTTACTTTCCAGTACACTGTCTGATACCAACTCAAGACTAGGTCGACCTGGGAGCCAAAGTTATTTTTTTTTTCGAAAAATGTCAGGCTCTGTGAGAACCCGAACCCACGACCCTCAGATCTATATCATCATGACAACTCTATATAGTCATAATGAAGGTTTGTCACTCGTTCTTCCACCATTCTTCTGGCAAGAGTTTGCCAACTGCTGAATTATTTCGCATAGATACTACTAGGGTATACCTTGCGCTCCTCACTATTGCAAATAAGTTTTAAGCAGGCGTGCCGACAGAGGAACAACATTGGCATGGGTCGCGCGGTGGAGGGCAATCGACATGGAATGACTTTCTGAGAATGAGTAAATGCGAAAAGGCGCCAATAGACAATTAAATAAACAGAGTACGACCTTTAAACACTGACTCAATTTGCTGTCCATCAGTACTAACTTTTCATTACCGCTAACTCTATGTACATTTATTCTTTTATCATACTTACAGGACATTTTGAGGAATGAAAATTCACCGTTGGATGATATGTTTATAACCTCCCTTGTTCAAGACCTCATAAGGGTAAGTAATTGTAATACAGAACTAGCAACACTGCTTGCCTGCCGATCCTAAGGTCGAAGGTTCAAATCGAAATAGAGGCAGCAATTTTCAAAAGTGATCCTGGTTTCCAGTCTTAAATTTAGCAGGTAATGTCTTTGGAAATAAAGGCGTCAAGCTTGCAGTTGTCCACATTTCGCTTGAGTACTAATTGGACTATAAAAATGTAGGTCTGACAATATAGACCCGACGAGCCGAACTTCACTTATTAGTATACTATTAACATATCATTAGGTCAAATTTGAAGGAAAGAGAGATGCATTTTATCTCTCTTGTTATTAAGCTTAAACATTGACTGGGTGATATAAGGAAAAAAATTATGTTGGAAATAACCGGCATTGACTAGGGGAAGAACACACAGTTGGTAGATACAATTTTGCTGATGATACTGTTCTGTAGAGTAACAACAACAATGACATGCAAAGAAAAACAGATGATTAAGGGAAAATTACATAAAATGTTAGACTCTAAATAAGTTAGGAAAAAACAAATATTTTAATGTCACCAGCAACAGATCAAGCAGATGAAACACTAAAAACCAAAGTGATTAAAATAACCGAACAGATTACTTATCATCATCATCATCATCATCATCATCATAAACCACTTCTGCCGTTAAGCATCGTGGGGAGGAATGGGAAGGAATAATTTGCGATGCAGTGCACGTTGGCTGCCACTGGCTATTGTCATGCCGTTAAGGCGTAGAGTGTCTTTAATGTTGTCGATCCATGTTTTCCGCGGCCGTCCTCTTGCTCTTGTAGCTGATCTTCTGAGATGTAGTGCTTGTGATGGTATTTGATCTTGCAGCATTCTAACAAGATGGCCAAACCACTTGATCTGCTGTTTCTCGATGAATCTAGTACAAGGTGTCGTTCCTACAATTTGCCTGAGAGTTTCATTATTCACTCGATCTCGTATGGTAAGGTTGGCTGCTTTACTCAGGCACCTCATCTCGCAGCTGGTGATTTTGCGTATATGGGCTTTAGATACTGTCCATGATTGGCACTGACTGTTTACTTATCTAGGTTTGTAATATTGGATAGTGAGGGAAATACAAAGAAAGAAATTATGAAACGCATTGGCAAGGACTGCGCAGCTTTTTAAAAGCCCTAACACAATTTGAAACTAGAAATTGTATCGTTATAAAATCAGGTTGTGTATTTTTAGTTTAATCTGACTTCACTATTAACGCACCCAACTCAATGCTAGCGGCACCAAAGACGTGAGGAGTGTCCGTTACTTACTTTACTTGCTAGGATATCTTTACAACTGTGGGGAGATGCCGTCACCCCGGGTACAGTTGCTTACTGTCTAGGTAGTCATGCGTTTAATGTGCGGATTTTTAAAAAGAAGAAACTTTTTGAAAGTCCAGAGTTGACCCAGATTGAAATGGTTGCTCAGGGATGTTATGGAAAGCATTGACAACCGGCGTGATATTCACCACGTTATTTACTGAAGAGACAGAATCCGACCTCTGTGAAAGTGGATACACCACTTTGAAGATAACTGACAATGAAAGCACATTGGGCTGGAGAATATGCCAGTGAAATAGAGACTGTGCCATAAAGAATGCGATGTTCTGTAAAAGAAACAAAAACCTGAGGATTGACGATGATCCACCGAGCGCCGACTAGTACATACCACTATGCGGCTAGAACCGTATCTGTGCACGAACCTAGGCCTGGAGTTATGTTATGTACTTTTGCTTAAACATACACCGAGTAGGTCTTTTGGTCTGCAATATCATCTTTTAGTGTTATTTCTTCTTCTTTCTACTTTCCATGGTATCTCTTTTCTACCGTTACGAGTCACAGTTTAACAGACGATAGGTTGCCGAGCTAGGATGCCCTCGGTTGCTTGGTATGCTTTGATGTTGTAAAATCTTAGACTGCTAGTAACTCCTTTCCTATTTGTTATTCTAGGGTGTCTATGCCTCTTAATGTTCCAACTTCATGATTTTACACTATTGCTGTTACCATCGTTGTATTCATTCTCCGTAGCTGGACGGAAAATTTCAGTCCTCGCTTCTCATTGAACAAGGGGTATTTTCCCAGAGGTTCTCAAAATCTCTTCATTTCTCGTACAATTTCTTCTACTTTTATTCGTGCCTTTCTCAAACATCTCATTTCACAGGTGGCTAGTTTTCTCTCATATTTGGTCACTCCTATTTACAAAATCGACTTTTATGCAATTACACCCGGTTTTTACATCTGTGGAAGGAACTCCAGCAATTTGGCGATGAGCAAAACTAGAGTCGCACAATGCTTTCGGAGACAATAGTGCTACAGCCATATATACTTACTAAACAAGCTAACGCAGGTTTCAGTCGTTTTTGCAAACAATTATTGATTAATACACACTTTGAAGGGATGTTTTGACTTTCACTTAAATGTTATGTGGAATGTCTAGCAAAATATGTGTGTGTGTGTAACATGTGTGTGTGTGTGTGTATATGTGTATGTGAACTGGCAGCGTATACCAAACCTGATATCACACATTGTAAAACCACTTTAGAATAAGTAGTTTATTAGCGAGGATGCAAACTGTTAATTTTATCCTCCGATGATCACTTAAAAAGTGTTATAGGTATGTATATATATATATATATTTACCACTGCTTAGAATGCAATGTCGTTGCCATCCCAGTTCTTAAAATAACACACGTATGATTACTTGAATGCAGGGAATGCACTTCATTCACGAGTCTGAGATTGGCTACCATGGAAACCTGAAGTCTAGCAACTGTCTGGTGGACAGTCGATGGACGGTAAAAATCACGGACTTTGGCCTCAGCGCTATCGGACCTCCACCCCTCACCACTGCTGAGGATGAGGAGTACTTCAGAGGTTAGTGAAGAAATAACATTGCACTAGTTTCATGTTGTGGATAGGAAGGTGGTGGGTTCGGATCCTTAATGAGCCATACTTTATTGTTTGTTTTTTATGACACTGGTCCCCAGGTCGGCCAAGCATTGAGTGGGTACCAGGTATAATTCTTGGTAGTAAAGTTGACTACATCACCCACCGATTGGCAATTGGTCTACAAATATAGGTCTAACATTGTATGCCCAGTTCGTCTAAAGGCTTGGTAAAGGCTCCCTCACTTTACTTACCTACCATTTTCATTGGGACATAAACTGCGCCTTCTTTCATTAAGAGTGCAGTACAAGCTATGGTACCCATTTTATAACGAGTGAACGACGTACAGCATTTTTCTGTGCTGTAAATAGTCAGCATAATACAGTAACAACTGAATACAATGAAACAAAAAAGGCAATCCTTCTTACTTAGAGACCACCGTGGTGTAGTATCTAGACTCTAGAGACTCGCCGGAGAATCGAAATGTTGTGGGTTCAGATCAGAACGGTTCTAAGACTTAACAAAAAAAAAAAAAAAAACATTTTCTTCCAGCTCGACCATGAATCAAGGTACCAGGTAAATCATGGGAAGTAAAGGTGGAAGGCGTGATGCTGGTCACATCACCCACCAAGTGCTGATTGGTCTATAAACTGTAGGTCCTCCCCTATATGCCCAATACGCCTGAAAGCGTGGACAAGTGTCCTTTGCTTTACCTTTAACTCAAAGTATAACTATCAGAAAATATTTGCTATTCTCTTGTTAACATTAAAGATAACCGCACACATAACGACATGCGGCAAATTGTCTCGTGTTTGGCTTGTGTCTCTTTTGTTCATGTTTACAACTAGGAGACACCATCATCATCATCATCATCATCAGGTGCCTTGCCGACTGGCGTGGGCGATTATGCCTCTCCATAATCCACGATCTCCTGCAGCATGTATCAGTTCGTGTGCCCACACGCCTCCATGCCATGCAAAAAGACTGTCAAGAATCTTTTCTCGTTGTCTTCCTCTATCCCTCCTTCCACAGATCTTTCCAGTGGTCAGATGTTCTATTTTCCCTCTTCTCATAACATGGCCGAAAAATGATGACTGTCTCCTTCTGATGTCTGTGATAAGTTGACTTCGGGCTCCCGCTTCTTTCAAAACCTCTTGGTTGACTAGGAGACATAAGCTTTGTTTAACAGATTTGTTACACATACCAAGCCTGGGTACCGCAGTAACTTGTATGTTTTCTTCTGCTAATCCAGGTTTACTATGGACAGCACCAGAAATGTTACCCTCCCGACGACGGAGACACAGCGGAGCCAGTGGTAGCACTCACCCTTACTACCACGGCAGCATCAGCAGCAGCAGCTACAACAGCAAGAACAGCAACCTCCGAAATTTGGTGTTGGCGAACCAGAAAGGGGACAGCTACTCCTTCGCCATTATTTTGTATGAACTGTACGGGAAGGCGGGTCCATGGGGTCACATCCAAATGACAAACAAAGGTAAGAGTATGATGTCAATGAAAGGAGCAAAGCAGTGTAATGAATTGAGTTAATATAAATGTCAACGTTAGGAATCCTTTTTTATCTTTACTGACAGTCATCTACAATTTTATACCACGACTTATGAATGCGTGGGGCGTCTACAAAACAAATTACATTATTCGACTCAACCTTTACATGTCACTGTCAGTATAAATATGATTTAGTGATCTGCCAGGCCATGAACGGTATCCCGAGTTGATCCGTAAAACCGGCCTGCGACCGGACATCGTTCTCCATTCTGCGCAAAAACGGCAGCTCATTCTGATTGAGTTGACTGTCCCGTTTGAGTCGCGGATGGAGGAGAATCATTTGTACAAGCTCGAGAAGTACAGTGATTTAGCAGCCGGTTTGAGGAGAAACGAAGCTTACACAGTACGGGTATTTGCCGTCGAAGTGGGAGCGAGAGGCCTCGTTTCCACTTCGCTCTACAATGTGGTAAAAGAACTAGGATTGCGCGGTAATGAACGGAAACGGGCACTCAAACAACTGGGAGAGGTGGCCGAAAGGGCCTCTAGCTGGCTTTGGACGCAGCGCAACAACGTAGGGGACGGGCCTCGGTGAGCTGGTCCGGGTGTCTAGTGGAAAAGAGTTTCTCATCCCTTTGAAAGTCCATCGTGTACGAATTGTCTGCCAGTGTTCCTCTGCCAACTGCTAATAAAAGTCCAACATGTGTCCGGTAAACCAGAGTAAGCTTGTCGCTCGGTCGTCCAGGCATGCGGACTGTTTTAATTACGCTGTCGCGGCGGCTTCTTATCTCACAGTACCTCCTTCGAAACCACCAAGTCGTCTTGTCTCTGGCCGAAAGTGTAACACCATCCGGTAATTCCGTGCAGCGGGGAAGCAGCCCTGAGCTTCCATGAAACTCAGGTGGGCCCACCTCCGAATACGTTTAGGAATCGTGGTGCCGAAACGTGTGTCGAAAAGAGGATAATTTCTACTGATGACTGTAGATTTCCCGCTGTACTTGCTCCCTGTGAGTTTATTCTTATTGTACGTGGCTAGCCCACAAGACTACCAGGAAAGACTGGTGGACTATCGGAAAAGACCTTTTGACACCTATGGAAAAGA